AAAATATTTGGCACCATTTGGTCCTCTGTTCACCTCATTTTTGAATAAACTTTATTTGGAAGCTATATCTTTTGTCTGTATTTACTGCGCATAGGGTTTATTTTACGCGTTATTTTTTGTTATGCATTCTTGAAAAATGTCCAGGGACAGGGGGCAGTCCGCGCGCTATTTCCCCAGGAGTCAAAGGGTTAATGTGCAAATTTATGAAATTATTCTTATAAAGGTTTTTATGTATATATGGTTCAATATCTTTAAGCAGCCAATCAGATAACTCTTCAATATGATAAGAGTGTAAGAACCTGATAATCTGATTGGCTAACACTGTTATCAGTTCAATCTCTGTCTAGTTTACTGTTATCTGATTGGTCCAATAAATTTATTCAAGTGGTCCTGGTTAGTGTGTCCGCACAGTGATATTTATCAACGTTAATGATAAAAATATTTGACAAATAGCTTCATAGTTTGAGTGTCCTCACTAAATGGTTTAATTAAATCGTGTGTTGAAGATTCACTATACTCTTTCTTTCCAGCACGGCCTCCCAACATCCAGAACTTTGGTCCTTTCTACCTATTCAGGGATACAGATGCAGTATTGCAGTGCAATTCAAATGCCGCACCTGTTGCTCAACATGACTGGCTCAAGGATGATCAACTCCTTACCATTAGTGAACGTTATTCAAGTGATGCTCAAAATTCCCTTGTAATTTCCAAAGTTAACAGTGCCGATGAAGGGAAGTACACTTGTAAGGCCAAGAATGATTTGGGCAAAAGTATCGCTTCCAATACTGCTACTGTGTATGGTGAGTAACTTACCTAGGATATACTAAAGAGATGAGGTGGTAACCCCTCATTGGATGGGCTCGGAAATCATGTAAGAGCATGCATAATTAGGTAAATTATGAGCCTTGTATGAAACGACTGAAGAAGAGGGCCAATGGACCTTTTGCAACTTCAAGTTTCTCATAGATGAGATAACTAGCTAAAAACTATAGATGCTGGAGGTGAAAACTGCCCTAGCAGTTGCAGGCCAATGCAACAAAATCTAGACAACCCAGCATTGGGCATTACAGTAGTTCACCAAGAGTCCCCTGTAGCTTAGCGGTGAGCATCAGGGCTTAAAATAATGCCAAGATATCAGATAATTTTCTCCTTGCCGGTCATTTTGACCAGTAACGCTACTTAAGACAGAATCAAGGTTATGACTGAGCTAAAACTAATTTGGCTGGTCATCATGACCAGTGACTTACAGGCTGTTATTTTAAGCCCTGAGCATCGGACTACAGTATAATGCAGATTGAGACCATGGGTTCAATTCCCATAAGGGAGTCATTTCCTCTCAAGTTCCCTTACTTTTTCTGTGACCTGTCTTTCAGGAATTCATTACAAGTCGTCCTCTGTGCTTTGATCCGCATGTGCTCAGTTGTTTGATCGTTTGACGACCATTTGAATTCGATAATGGGATTTAAAGACTTTTATCAGCTGATTGAAACCCAGCAATTGCTTACTAATTTGTTTCTCCTATYTTAACTAAAACAGACAGAACAGAAATCTTTAAACCACCCAAGAAAAACTTGTTCATTTCACTCAAGAAAGCCTTGGACTTGCACTGTGAAGCAAGAACAGATGAGAGACTCAAGCAGTTCTTGACGTACAAGTGGCTCAAGGATGGCAGGCAAATTCAATACAATTCTCGGGTTCAATGGAAAGAAAACCAGAACATTCTGAAGATTGAAGATGCGAATGTCAATGATGGAGCCATGTATACCTGTATTGCATTTACTGATGCTCCTCAGAGGTCGGAGGATAGAGCAATAGCCATTGCAGATGTAAAAGGTGCTGTCCAACATTAATTTTTTAGGCCTTTTTTTAAGTTTTTTATCACCACATTCAATTATTCACATACTTCAATGAAATCATGACAGGCACATTGTGGGCTTAAAGTGGATGTTTCAAAGTAGGCAGTCACCTTAACATACAGAAGCCAGTGCATAAAAGTACTGTATGTGTGTTGAACTGTAATATCTTATTAACCTCCAGGTGTCTTACTTTTGGCTTACACAACCAAAAATTACAAAGGTGATACCTTCTTTTCAGGGATGATTCATTTTTTATTTGTGTATATTTCAGGTGTTCCATTCCCACCATCAGACCTCACGATTACAGGTTGTTACARCCGAACTACCACCATTACATGGAAAAAGGGACAAGATAATGATGCACCCATCACCCACTTTGTCGTTGAACAAGAATCCACCTACTTTCCAGAGGAATGGCATGTCATTGTCAATATCACCGACCCCACAAAAACATCTTATACTCTGCAACTGACAGCTTGGGCAAACTTGACGTTTAGAATGCGAGCTATCAATAAGATTGGGCCCAGTCGAGCAAGCATGCCGACACCAAAAGGACAGTGTGTTACTAGCGTGTTCAGTAAGTTTAAATGATAGCTTTTTGCTTGTGGTGTTTCATTGAAAACATAAAAAAATAATAAATATAAATATAATAAATTGATAAATGAAATAAAGTTATTTAGATTAAGGTTCAATTGCAATTTTACTTTAAACCTGAGAACTGTGGTTTTACTCCAACAGGGCCACTTATGTTTCCCAAAAACTTCAGAGGAGTGCCAGGAAAAGCAAATGAGCTTGATATTGCATGGACGGTAAGAGTTGTATTCTTTAATTCTTTCAAAGGGATTAACAACTCCTTAGTGGATGATGTAATGCCTTTGAACTGGTTTTGTAACCCAATCAATAAGGCAGCTAATAGCAGTGTTCTTACCAGGCCGCACCATTGCGGGAATCGCACATAAAAAACAGAAATGGCGCACAAATTTCAACTCTATGAATTTTCCAAAGAATACTTCCTGATAAAATAAATAATAAAATAATAATAATAATAAAATAAGTAATAAAAGTCGCATTATATTGTCAATAAACAAGGTGAAAGTCCACATGAAACGACAGGAATCGAACATAACCGCCATCTTGTATTTAACTTGCCAAGAGGTCTGGGACAAGTCTGTATTAACTGCCCTTGTTTATTTGAGGCTCAAATATGGCTGCCCAGTGCAAGTTTATTAAGTTGTCATTACTAATAAAACTGTCTTACATGGTTGTTGATTTGCAACAGAGTTACTGGCAAAAAAACATTATCTTTAACTTTGTTTTAAGATTTTGGAAATGGCCCATCCAGTTTTCTAAATGGCCCCTAAATTTTGGATTGGTGGGCCCTTCGACCCCCTGAAAGAAATTCCTGGTCAGAACACTGTAATAGATTGAATTATAATTTAGATTTTTTTTTTTTTTTTTGTGGTGGGAGAAAAAAAACCCAGAGATCCCAGAGGAAACAAAGCACAGTAGAGAACCAACAAACAACTCTACTCACATATGTAATTTATAGTAATCGTTTACATAGGATGCAAATTTAAATGCATATTCTGGGTTACTTTATTGCTGATCTTTCACTCTTGTTCTGTCTTTTCTTATTGTTTCCTTCCACAAAAGGCAAACATTTTCCAGGGGGGAGGGCACTCTACTGGAAAACTGGCAACTGTTTACTTGAAATTGCTAACTAAAGATTGATTACAAATTCTCTATCTATATAGCCCATGACCAAGCTTGAAGCCAATGGCCCAGGATTGCATTACATCCTCAAGTACTATAAGATTCTAGATAACGGTCTGAAAGGAAAAGAACAGAAAGCAGTTATCATGGATCCAACTGTTGATCATTACTCAATTCCCAATGCTGGCTACTACCAATTGTGGGAGTTCCAGATTACGGCAAAGAATGACGTTGGTGAAGGACCAGTCAGTGATATCGTTAAATCATTCTCAGGTCAAGATGCACCAACATCTAAACCAGAAAATGTGAAATTGGGGAAAATATCTGCTCGTTCTATTGAGTTAATATGGAATCGAGTTATCGTGACGAGGGGGAGTGTTGATGGATACAATGTAAGTTATTTTAACAGTTCACATCATACAGTATTTACTAAATATTTATTCATTGTCGCTGTTCAACCCCATCTTATTTACAGTGAAACTATTCCAACCAAGGCCAGCCAAACAAAGTTTCTACAAATTAGCCAATCAAAAGTTGGAATTTGAATAATAGAATCGCTACAAACCAGACAAATATCCATGAGTTTACATGGTTTAGAAGACTACTGACACCTTCATTGTTGAATAGAAATGTGCTGTCGCATAGTAACAYGGTGATAAAATGTAACAGTGTCAGCCTGATAATATTGTTGTCTAGAAGAAACAAACTGTTTTCAAGAACTCTGTGTTTTCTACAGTTTCTAATTTGCTTTCCTCTTATATTTGAAGACATACTTTACTATTTTTCTATATTTTTGGTGATATAAATCATTATATTTGTAAAAAAAAACATATTACAAGCTCTTATTATTATCATTTGGTTTTGCCAATCTGAACTGTGGAAGAAAATCTAAATTTGAAATATTCTGCTAATCTATTGTCTAAATACTCAATCACTATTGGATAATTTGTAGAAAATTTGTTGAGGTGGCCTTGGTTGGAGTAGTCGCACTGTAAAGAATAGTCACGCTTGTGCACTTTCAGTTGCCTAATTCCTATCCAAAATAATGGTTATAGTAATTTGTATTTCATAAAAGAAATAGAAAACGCACACGCGTGATAGGGTGCAGTTATGAATCATGCACTAAGCGTTGTGCTTCTCCTAACACTTTATCGTGTTCTGCCAACCCCCACGCGCTTTATAACTGCACACAGCTAGTGCGCACTTTTTCTGTTTTTTCATCGGGTGGGAGATATGATTGTTTATATTTGGTCAGAAGCATTTAATGGTACGACAAGGAAATAACTCAACTGCAACAGGGGAGGTGCAAGGAGTGTCACTATAGTCACCCCCTCCCTTATTGTATATGTACATATAACAGCATCTCCAATTAACACCAAGAACAATATATTATAATAACATTGTCCTGCAACCCATCCACCCTCTCCATCCCTGGGGTCTTTTCTTTTCATTCACCTAGCAATCCATTCATTCATTCATTCATTTACTAATTTTATTACATGGTTCGTCTTAAGATTTATCATTGGGGTCAAAGCAAGTTAGTAGAAGCTCGCCGTCGAAAAAGAGAGATCCCAGTAGGTGCTAAAGTGTTCAAGACCATTTCAACTCCTGAAGATATTCAGAAGCAAAACGTCACTGGACTAATCCCCTACACCAGCTATACTCTGGCACTCAAAGCCTTTAACAGTGGAGGAGAGGGGCCACCGAGCGAGGAGGTCAAGTTTGATACTCTTCAAGATGGTGAGTATTTTGCCATAGAGTCATAATTGAACTTTGTTCATGTAATTGCATGTTATGACCAGATGACAGCCACAGTATTGTTGATGAGGTGTTGAACAACAACCTTTGTTTGTCCAAGAGCTGTCATCACAACATTAAAACACACAATTTCTGGCAATACCAGCATTATATTTTGAAGTTCTTTCAGGGCTTAAAATAATAGCCAACCATTTGCGATCATGCTCACAGGCCAAATTAGTTTTAGCTTAGTCATAACTCCTTTCTGACTCGAGGCTCGAAATGACTGGCAAGGCAAAGATTTGACCAGACAAGTCCCAGTTCTGGCTGGACATTGTCCAATGTCTGGTTGTTATTTTAAGCCCTGTTCTTTTCTGAATGGCAATGCAGTTTTTTAATTGCATTGCAAAACAAAGTTACCATGTGTTGCACCTATTGATGAATAATGCTTATGCAAAAAGGAAACAAATATAAAAGCTAAATAAGGTTCCAAAGGAGGAATTCTCTTTATCCATAATATTAATATTGAATTAATGAATTTTAGTACCTGGCCCAGTGTCTGACTTCGAGGCTCAAGCTTTCTCCAGCTACATCTTTGCAAACTGGGGTGAACCTGCCAATAAGAATGGAATTCTCTTAGGATATTTGATTGGTGCACTTAAACATGAAGATAAAGAGCCAATTAAACCTATCAGCCAAGTGCAGTTTGTTGACTTGCCAATAGACAAGTTTGAGCACCTTTTCAAAGATATGGAACCAGAGACTCGTTATGTTATATATCTCCAAGCCAAGACAGTCATTGGACCTGGACCAGTGATGAAAGCAGACGTGAAGACTATTGCACCAACAAGTAAGTACTTGTTTGATCTTGTTACGAATTACCACTGTGTTCATTGATTACAAACTAATTTACTCAGGCCTAGCCTCGAATCAGTGACTGAAATATATTCACAAATACCAATGGTAAAATAAAGAATGCACAACTTCGACAATACAAACACTTTGAAATTCCACAGACTTTCACTGGAAATTATGAATATTCTGCACAAAGTCCAGGCTAACCTTGGGCAACAGAAAACTTGAAACTGGAGTATTGAGTGTTGTACACAAATATACAGTACTAACTCTCACTGACATGGTTTTGGGTTCGACATGTTGACCTGCCGTAGATCACATGTAATGTTAATTATTAATACAGTATATGGGTTGTAGTTTTAAAAAAAATATGTTCCTACCTTCTATTCTTCCTTCCTCTCGTTTCTTTTTCTACTATTCCTTGTTTCATTTCCTTTCTTTTACTAATCCCTTTTTTACTCAGTTGTACTTGAATCCTCAGTCTTAAAAACATGGCCTCCAGTTTTGAAAGGTCATTCATACAGAGGTTTTCTACATGTAGATGCTGATCACTTATTTTTTCTTTTTGTTTCTAGAGCCAACTAAATCAAGAGCTCCTTTAGCAGATGCTCACTCCACTACAGCGGTCAACATTACTTTCCTGTTTGGAAAAACACCTGGCGGATATCCCTTGGAGTTCATGGTCAAATACAGGGAAAAGGGTGAGATATTACTACATACTACCAACTTACTAACACACTGCAGCCAACTCAATGAGACACTACTAGAAACCTACTAATACCATATAGCCAATCGACTGACACCTTACCTCCAACCAACACCCTACCATCAACCTGCTGACTACCTAGACCACCTACCATCAACCTACTGACCCTTTCACCAACCTAACACCACCCTATCATCTACTCACACCCTACCACCAACCTACTGACACCCTACCA